GCATCATTAGGTTGCAAGAAGATACTAATGCATTGTTTTCAAAATGTTGAAAGAACAAAAAGTTTAAACAGACAAAATTTTTTGCTGCCAAAAATGTAGTTCACTTATAAGGGGAGCACAAAATGTTTCCCTTCTGGCAAGAAAATCAGCCATATGAATTAAGAGCCTTAACGATGTTCAAATTCTTTAACCTATCTAGGAATCTACATTCCGAAGTGATAATCAGAAATGCAATGCATCGCAAATGCAATAAGCCCTAGTGTAGCATTTTCAACAGCAAAAACTGTAACATTCCAAATATTCAAAATTCGGGGAAGAATTAATCATGGTTCAGCCATATGAATAAATACTTGCCATCATTAATACAATGAAAAGACTAATTAAATAAGGAGCATCACTTAGAACAACAAACCGAAACTGTTCAAACAATAATGATGCTTGTCATCTCACTTAAGAATTTTGGAGGTAGAAAAAAAGCAGTTAGTTAACTCTGGCAAATACTGCTTGCTATCATCCAGTATTTATTCTCCTTTCTCTGAAAGAGAACCCTGATTTTAGGTGGGCACATGGCCGCCTCCAAAATTACCACCTTTTGCAGACTCTATAAATACTAAATACTAGTCAATGTGATATGAGCTGATGTGTCAGACAACTTCCAAGAAGTGTCAAAGTAAGGGTGGGGGGAAGTGCATTTCCTACTTGCTGACTGGAATTCAGAAGTCATAGCTGGAAATCAGGCAGCCATCCTGGCCTATGAAGAGGAAGCCACATCCTGAGAATGGCAGGGTAGCAAAAAAGAAGGAATCAGGATCTCTAACACCAAGGAAGGACCATGTCTGCTCTGGAACACCTACTTCTTGACCATTTTTACATGAGAAAGAAATAAACTGCAATTAAGACACTGTTGAGTCTTCTGATACACACATCTGAGCCGAATCCTAAAATCTCGGCTCTACCCTTAGAGTTTCTGATTCAGTAGGTCTGGGGATAGGGCCTTATAGTTCCATTTCTAACAGGTGATGTTAATGCAGCTAATCTGGGGACCATACTTGAAGAACCACTGCACTAATGGAGGTAATAACTTAGTGATTATCAAGCTGTGCTTTACATTAGAATCACTGGAAGAGAGGGAGGCCTTAAAAACGCGCGCGTACACACACACACACACACACACACACACACACACACACACACACACACCCCCAAGGCTAATTTCGGAAACTCTAACTGGTCTAGCCAGATAATTCTAAGGTGTAGACTGAATGCTGTAACTCTTTCCCTACTTACTGAAACAATAGTAATAAGAAGGAAATACCTGTGATTCCCCACAGAGGGGGGTTGATATTTAGAAAGCTGCTCTTGATGGCCCAGAACTTGAAGCCAAAAGACTGGATTTAATACCCTGATCTTAGACAGTTATGAGGACCTAGAACAATGTAGTATCTCTAGACCTTGGTTACATTATTTGCAAACTGGTGATGAAAATATTTACATGATTGGGTTTTTGTGTAGATTATATGATATAGGTGAAAGTACTTTGTAAACTCAAAGTATTACCCAGAGGTAATAAGGGAGGCCCAGCTGATTTTCTATGGAGAATCTGAGTTAGTTTAGCCCTAGGATTGAACTGAATAAATGGAAAAAGTAGGAGAAAAACAATAGAGAACATAAGAAATAACATAGGATTCATCTGTGACTCCCTGCCGGAGGACTAGAATGTGTGATAGGATTGGAGTACCTCCTGTGATGGGTGCTGCTCCCTCTTCCTTTTCTTATTATCATGATTATATTTTCATCAGCTGTTCCTAGTCTGAAATAACTCCTCAGGTGATATTCCTGGCCTGAAGCACACAGACCTTGTCTGTATAGAAGCAGGTGTTAAAGAATGGATACTCCAGTGATTAGGATCATTATACCGCCATCATTAACCAGAACCTGAAATCACCAGTGTCTGCAATGTTTCCCAGGTGGCTGTTTTATATTTAGGTGTTTGGCTGTGGATGTACCAGATGTCAGAATCTGACCCTGACACTTCTACTTTCAGGATAAAGGGGGATTTAGATTGGGTCCTTGAGGGCCTCAGGTGCCAGACTGAATTTGGACTTTATTCTGTAGCCTGTGTAAGTCACTTGTTTTTTTTTTTTTTTTTGAGACAGAGTACCGCTCTGTCGCCCAGGCTGGAGTGCAGTGGCGTGATCTAGGCTCACTGCAAGCTCCGCCTCCCGGGTTCACGCCATTCTCCTGCCTCAGCCTCCCGAGTAGCTGGGACTACAGGCGCCTGCCACCACGCCTGGCTAATTTTTTGTATTTTTAGTAGAGACGGGGTTTCACCGTGGTATCCAGGAGGTCTCGATCTCCTGACCTTGTGATCCGCCCACCTCGGCCTCCCAAAGTGCTGGGATTACAGGCATGAGCCACTGCGCCTGGCCAAGTCACTGGTTTTAATCCCAGAAGTGACAAAGCGTGGTACTCTGAAAGTATCAGCCAGGGGCCTGTGTAATGGATTAGACTGAGCTGAGGCTGAAATCAAGATGACCAGCATAGAGGTTACTGAATACCATAACAGAGTAGAAGCAATAGAAGTTGATGGGAAATAATAAATGCAAGAGATAGGGTGGATGAAAATGAACAGCACTTGGTCATTCATAACTTTCAAATTTTTTTTGGTGAATACTGGTAGACTTCAATAACTAATGATTGACAAGGCTATCTTTCTTTTCCCTTGGTACTAAGTAGTGTCCTACAGTTAAAACAAGTCTCAGACTGAATGCTACTACACAAATCTTATCAGCAAGCAGACACAAAAAACAGTACAAATAGTACTTTGTGGCAAAATATTAAGTCTAGACTAACAGCCATTCTGAAGGGTGTCGGCCTGCTACACTCAGATTTCTACTCCACAGTTATGCAAAGAGGTGCTTGTACAATATTCTAGCCAGTCACGTATCTTGAATATCTTGTTTCCACAATGAAGAATTCTTTCTAATCCTTTATGCTGAGGTACACCTAGTGCAGATTTACATGGTGATACTGGAAGCATCTGTGCATTCAACTCTGCAGTGAACAGTTTTTATTAGTCTTTCAAATGCCAATTACCCACCCTGGGCTGTGCAGATTAACTTTCAAACATATACACATCTCACTGAAGTATTCTAAAGTATAAGGACAAGATAACAAGCATCAAAAATGGTTTTAAAGTCATAAGGCAGAAGACCAGGTCAGAGGAAGATGATGAAAAACCACTGATTTAGTGAGCTGGTCTTAGTGCTAAGCAACAGAATGCAGCTGTAGTTAATTTAAGCAGAAAGTAAGTTTACTGGAGGACGCTAAGTAGCTCAAAGGAAGCACCTACATGGCCAGAAACTACCTCTGGCTGTTACCGGTGGAGGGTGTCCAGGTTCTTGGCATCTTGAACAAGGAATTGGACAAAACGCACAAACAAAGCAAGGAAGGAATGAAGCAACAAAAGCAGAGATTGAAAATGAAAGTACACTCCACAGGGCGTGAGCAGCCGGAACATGGGACTCAAGAGCCGGGCGGCCGGGTTATAGAATTTTCTGGGGTATAAATACCCCTAGAGGTTTCCCATTGGCCACTTGGTGTACACCACACACAAATATAGTGGCCCACAATCAGTCTGATAGCAGAAAGCAACCAATCAGAGACTGAAGCGAAGTTACAAAGGTTACACACTATGCAAACATCTGATTCGTTGTGGAAAGCAACCAATCAGAGGTACTTTCAATTTTCCGTCTGCCACGCAGAAAAGGGAGATGGTGGGGGAGGGGGACGGGTCCTTTTGTTCCTCAGGTGTGGAAAGTTGGGGCTTTTCTTTTGATTTAGTTCTAGGAAGTCAGCATGAATCGGCCTTAAGTTCCTTGCCTTTAGACCCTATTCTCCTGCCTCATGGCTATATAGTACAGAGTCTGTCACAGGCTACCCAGAAATATACACAGAGACTGTTAACAGGCTACAGAACAGATTGGGAAAGGGCTCTGGGGTTGTGACCCTCACCAAGCATAGGCATCTTCCATCTCTGACATGTTAATGGTGGATGCCAACACTCTGACTACTGCCCCAGAAGCTTACCTTGCTGTTGGGGATGGGTTCTCGGTTTCTACACTTGCTATACTCCTACAGGTGACCTGGGAGTGTAGCTTTCTGTACCTTTGTTGACTCATGGCTTCCAGCAGGTACACATGATTGGTTAAACAAGGGTTCAGCATTTCAGCTGCAGCCATTAGACTCTTAACTAAGGTGTGGAATTCTCCAAATACGGAAGGGGATTCAAATGGGAAGCATAATAAATATATATAAATGTCCTTTAAAGGCAAGTTGATTTGGACGTGATGACAATATATTTGAGTAGAAACATCTAGCAGTAGTTGGAAATGTGACACTGGTGTTCCCCAGAGAGCTAGTTACAGATTTGGGAAGTTGAGTTGCGATTGCTTTTAGGAGTCTCGAGAGACTCTAACTCAAAATTTTCATATACATATGCAGAATCTCAATCTGAGGGTTGTTCATTCTTGTAGATGTGCTGGCCACGCCAACCCCCAACATCTATTATGAAAATTAGGAAATTCACACTCTATTATGGAAAATAGGAAAAATATAGATAATACATGCAAAATAAGTGGGAGGAGAGAACTAGGGATCGTGGAGAGCCTATTGTACGTTATTATTTTACAAGTATTTAAGTGCTAACTTTGTGTCACGCACTATGCTAAGGTGATTTAATGTTTAGCAAAACCCGACATGTCCCGGCATTTGAGGAACTGAAGGGTTCTGAGGGCGGGCCTAAGGAGCTTGGGGCTTAGCTGGTTACAAAGCCATATATTATGCCATATATATTAAAGAGCAGCAACGCCTCCCGCAGTATTTACAGCCCACGCGTAGCAGTCCCGTCCGCCCTGTCCCCGTTCGGTCCAGCGCGAGGCGGTGGCCTAGATGCTTGATGGGCACTGTCAGCCTGATCTTTGGTGGTCTTTCTGCTGTCTGTTCTCAGTCACTGATTCCAGGTCCCAGGAGTCGACTTTGGCTCGAGGAAGTCAGGCGCCTTAGGTGGGGCAGTTGACACTCGCGCAGCGTCTTGCTCACCTCGGTGCGCGGCGGCGCGCGGGTTTGGGCGGGGAGGGGGCCGGGCCTCGGGAAGGACGCGCGCCGCTCAGTTTGACCCCGGCGACGTTCCGTACCGTCGCGGATTTTGGCGGCGGAAACATGGCGGTCGCGGCCGGGCTGGTAACGGAGAAAGTTTCCACAAACACCGGCCTGTATTAGCGCGTATGGCCTCGGGCCCTCGTTCCCCAAGGCGTGCCGCCTCCCTGTTTTCCGTCGCAGGCGAAGCCTTGTCTGCCCTCCTCCTTTTTGGTTTGGTTTTGGAACTGATTCCGAGGTTTGGGAGAGCGCGTTGGTGGCGACGGCCGAGTCAGGTAGGGAGAAATGGATGGACGGCAGGGCGGCGAGAGGTAGGTGCAGACACCGCCAGGGCTCCGCGTGGTGGACCCCAAGTTCCGCCCAGCCAGCCTCCCAGGGCCGGGGTAGGATACCTGCCCCTGGAGGAGTTGACAGTGGTGGTTGGAGATTGGAGGGTGTGGGAGCGCCTCTCCGTGTCTTGCAAGGGTTCCCCCTCAACTGGGCGCCACGTTGTGGTCGCGCTCTCCCGAGGTAGAGAATGGTGGAGAACAGCCAAGCTCCTTGTAGGACCTCCCACATCTCACTAAAAGGAGGCCGAAAGGGAGAGAAATTGCTATTGCTGCTCTAGTGCCCAGGAGTTTAATATTCGAGATACCATTTTCCTCGTATGAGATGGCTCAAATAGTTATCAGTAACTCAGAACCGAAGCACTGAAATTCCCTGGCCCTGTTTTTTCAGTGTAGTTCTTTCAGCCTTGACACTTCTAGATGGGACAGAAAGTTTCTGAGTGAAGGATAATGCAAGTGATACGGTATGCCTCAAGTCATTCCCTAGAGATAGGACATGGAGAGAGGATTGAGTTGGAAGAATTTGGGTGAATTAAGTAAAGACTGGTGGAAAGCTGAAAGAGATACCAAACATTTATGCAATCTCCCTTAGTACTACCAGTTATTAGTTGTGAGATATTAGCTAAGTTCTGTATTCTCTTTATGCATTAATAAGTGTCCAGTGGCGACCATTGTTGTTAAATGTAATTATTTCTGTATTAGTCTTTATTTTTCAACAAGCATGTATTGAATACCTTCTTGATGCCGAATTTTTGCTAGTCACTGGGTGTACAGTATTGAAGACAAACCCTCAGAGACCTTTTGATCTAGTGGGAAAAGCAGACATGAAATAAGTGATGGTATGTAACAGAGAAAGTACGGGGGTCATGTAATGGGGAGGGGGCAAGGATAATCTCTTAAGATAATGTTTTATCTGAGACCTGAAGAGTTGCAGTAAGCCAGGTGTGAGCACTGGGGTGGGGCCAGGAGGAGGAAAAGGAGTGTACCTGGCTTGGGAATAGCATTTGTGCAGTTTGTAATTGAAAGGTCAGTAAGTTTGGAAAACAAAGTGTGAGAGGAAGAGTGGTAACAGATAAGGCAGGAGAGTTATTCAGGCCCAACACGGAGAGCCTTATAAGGCATTGAAGGAGTTTTGACTTTATTGTTAAGGGTGATGGGACGCCATTGGAGCGCTACATTTTGGTTTTAAAAAGTACACTTCTTAGAGAGGGCAAGAGTGGATACAGGGAAATGTTCAACATGATGGTGGCCAAAATCGGGATGGTGACCCTGGGGACGAGAAGTAGAAACACTTAAAAAATGTTTAGGAAGAATAGTAGACAGGACTTGGTGAAGGTTAAATGTAGATGATGGTGGAGAGGAGGGTTAGAGTAGTATGTAAGGTTTTATTAAATAATCAGACTCTGGCAGTGATTAGTTAACTTTTCCCATATGCATATTGAATCTTCTATGCTCCATTTTAATCTACCTCTGGAATAATTGTTCATTGAATCATTAATGATGGCAAACCAATTGAAAAAGATTGTAATGTTTTTCTATTATTCTCTAACTCAGGCTGTCTTTTGAAGAAGATCAGGATGGGGAAAGACTTTTGTAAATTAGCCATTTAAAAACAATCTGCCATGTTGATTTTGGTCCATCAGAAGGTAACTGCATATATTGCATTATATGGATGCACTGTACTTGACTAATTTTTTTTTTTTTTTACATGTTTACATTTACTTTGTTTCCAGGTATTTACCTCTGTTAACAGTGCAGAACAGAGCTGGTGCTTCAATTTCTATAGTAGATTAATATATGTGTGCACTTAAGTAGAGAGATAATAATTGAAGACATAGAAATAAATGACATTGCTTAGAGAAAGTATGTAGTGAGAGAAAAGCCTAGGTTTGGGGTTGAACATTATAAAGGATGGATTGAGAATGAAGAGCCTTCAAGGAGACCAAGGAGGGGAAACCAATGAATTAAGAAAAAAAATCTGGAGACTTAGTCTTTGGATGCCCACGAAAAGGAATGGTTTGGAAAGAGAGAGAAGTCAACAATGTAAGTTTGTTTAAAGAATATGCAGGATACGTCCAGGTGCAGTGGCTCACGCCTGTAATCCCAGCACTTCGGGAGGCCAAGGCCGGCGGATCACCTGAGATTGGGAGTTCGAGAGCAGCCTGACCAACATGGAGAAACCCTGTCTCTACTAAAAATGCAAAATTAGCCGGGTGTGGTGGCGCATGCCTGTAATCCCAGCTACTTGGGAGGCTGAGGCAGGAGAATCTCTTTAACCTGGGAGGCCGAGGTTGCGGTGAGACGAGATCGCTCCATTGTATTCCAGCCTGGGCAACAAGAGTGAAACTCCGTCTCAAAAAAAAAAAAAAGGCCAGGTGCAGTAGCTTGTGCCTGTAATCCCAGAAGTTTGGATGGCGAGGCCGGTGGATCACCTGACGTCAGGAGTTTGAGACCAGCCTGGCCAATATGGTGAAACCCCATCTCTACTAAAAATACAAAAATTAACTGGCCATGGTGATGGGCTCCTGTAATCCCAGCTACTCTGGAGGCTGAGGCAGGAGAATCGCTTGAACCCGATAGTCAGAGGTTGCAGGAGAATCGCCTGAACCCGATAGTCAGAGGTTGCAGCAAGCCGAGATCCTGCCACTGCACTCGGGCCTGGACAACACATCGAGACTCCGTTCCCCCACCCCCCCCACCCCCCCAGAAAAAGAGTACGCAAGATACTGAGTGAAAAGTACCCATTGGATTTAGGAATTTACAGGTCATTTCAGCACTTAGCAGAGCAGTTGTGTAGTGGGAAACACCATTTAGTGGTTTGAAAAGTGAGTAGGTAAGAAGTAAAGCAACTACCTCCCAGCTGTCAAAAGGACACAAGATTGAGTTTCATATAGGATATGGGGATTAGCAAGGATTGTTTTTGTTTTGTTTCTTAACTTTTTTGGTATTGTTTTTAAAAGAAACAGTTTATAAATGTTTAAATACTAATAGATAAAAGTGAGAGTTTGCAGAGAGGAGAGAGTCTGATGTTCTGGAAGAGGCAGAAGGAAAGATGCACAATATGGCTGAAAGATTTAACCTTAGAGAAGCAACAGCCTTCTTTCCTTATATTTGGACATATAAGTAGAGATGGGTTTGTGGACTTGGGAACTCAAGTGAACTCCCTTTTGATGACTCTCTAGGAGGCAGAATCATCTGGTGAGCATGCAATAGGAAGAAGTAGGGTATCAGAGATTTGAAGAGAGGAAGTAGGGTTTTGAGTAGTCACAAGAATGGAGAAGAATGTTGACCAGGGAAGGATGTTCCATGGATTTAGAGTGGTACTATTTAGCCTCGTGTGTGGTTTTTTTTCCCCTCCTGTCCAGCAGTGTTCAGTAGTCTGAGCCCAGATTGTACCATCAGCTCTTTGAGGATAAATATTCTAATGTATTTGTTGAATTATTTTATAACACACAATAGTGATGTTTTAAAAAAAACCTCAGTGCATTCCAGATTTTGTCAGTTTCTCACACTCAAGTTAAAAAGATAAACCAAAATATACCAAAGGAAGACATTTTCTTTAACATTATGTGGTACCTTAAGACATAAGTGAATACAAATTTAATTAAGGCAAGTCAGTTGGAATACTTAAATAGACTTAGTTGTAAAAAATTTTTTAAAAAATGCTTGTTGAACATATAAAAGCAAAATAAGTAATAATACTTGGAACTTCCCAGAGACCCTAAGGTTGCTTTAGTAACATTCCTCTCCAGCCAAATGAGTACGAAGAGTTGATTCTAGGTTCTCATATTTCTCTTGAGCCTTTTAGTGTAGAGCTATTAAGAAAGTACAGATAAACTAATCACAAACTAGTATTTTTTGTTTGTTTGTTTGTTTGTTTGTTTGTTTTTTGGAGGCAGAGTCTCGCTCTATCCCCCAGGGTGGAATCCAGTGGTGCAATCTCGGCTCACTGCAACCTCCGCCTCCTGAGTTCAAGCGATTCTCCTGCCTCAGCCTCTCGAGTTAGCTGGGATTACAGATGCCTGCCACCACGCCCAGCTAATTTTTGTATTTTTAATAGAGACAGGGTTTTTTTCCTGTTGGCCAGGCCGGTCTCTAACTCCTGACCTCAAGTGATCCGCCTGCCTCAGCCTCCCAGAGTTCTGGGATTACAGGAGAGAGCCACTATGCCTGGTCCTATTTTCTTTTTAAGTGTCTGATTGGGTTCTCTTTAGATAGAGTTACCATGAATCATTGATCAGTTCTTTTGAAACAGTATACTAGGAAATTTTGAAGAATTATAATAGATGGTTAAATCATTTTTTGACTACTGTCATTTTTTAGGTGTGACTTGTGGAAGCTTTTAATTTCCTGGGTCCTCTAACAAATAATTGTAGTAACATTTGTTTAAGTAGAATTGAAAAGTTCTTCATTTACTTTATAATGACTATTAGGGTGAGCATTTCAGTTTTTCATTTTTGACTCGGAATTGATCAGGAATTGGTTTCTATAGAGATAGTGTTTAGATTTGGAAAGCAAGTTTAGTAATCAGAGTAATTTAATAGAGGTAAAAGTACAGGGAGAATTATGGCTCAACTTTAGGGACTGAGTAACTTTAATACTAGTGAGTTTATTAGTTAAATAATGTAAAGACCTTGTGTAACATTCTAGAGCTGCCTTGTAAAAAGATGTAGGGGATATTTGGCAGGTAGTAATGGTTGCTGTTACTACTAGTATATACAAGTGCTTTTCACATTAGAGGTAACAGTGAAGTCCTTCATTTGCTTTAAGAACTAAGTAGCTTTATGTTGTACCAAAACCTGCTACAATCTAAGCTAAAGCTAACATATCACATTTCCTTGTTGTTGAAAAACCAGATATTTAAACCAGAATGGATTAGGTGAATTCTTCACCATCTCTGGAAGAACAATTCTAATCATGCAGTCATAGCATATGATGAGTAGAAGGCACAGCCATGTCTGTTTGGATAAACTGCCAAGTTTTAAGCCAGAAACAGTAATCATTAAGATATTGCAAATCAGGTTATAAACTGGATTTCAGTTTTTAAACTGGATTTTTTTCACTTTTTATATGCATCTTTATATAAAATAATGAGTAAATTATATAAAATTAACTCTGAAATATTTTCTTCTTCTTTTTAGATCACTATAAACAAAATTTCCACGAGAGAAAATGTTGAAATAGGAGTTGCGGATACACTGGATATACTGGATGAAATACAAGCAGTTAATTTTTGTAACGTGAGGGAAAAGCCCACATTGCTGGTTACATGTGTAAATCACTGCGTTACTGCTTTAGTCATTGTCTCTATTTAGCAATGACAAGACTGGAAGAAGTAAATAGAGAAGTGAACATGCATTCTTCAGTGCGGTATCTTGGCTATTTAGCCAGAATCAATTTATTGGTTGCTATATGCTTAGGTCTATACGTAAGATGGGAAAAAACAGCAAATTCCTTAATTTTGGTAATTTTTATTCTTGGTCTTTTTGTTCTTGGAATCGCCAGCATACTCTATTATTATTTTTCAATGGAAGCAGCAAGTTTAAGTCTCTCCAATCTTTGGTTTGGATTCTTGCTTGGCCTCCTATGTTTTCTTGATAATTCATCCTTTAAAAATGATGTAAAAGAAGAATCAACCAAATATTTGCTTCTGACATCCATAGTATTAAGGATATTGTGCTCTCTGGTGGAGAGAATTTCTGGTTACGTCCGTCATCGACCCACTTTACTAACCACAATTGAATTTCTAGAGCTTGTTGGATTTGCCATTGCCAGCACAACTATGTTGGTGGAGAAGTCTCTGAGTGTCATTTTGCTTGTTGTGGCTCTGGCTATGCTGATTATTGATCTGAGAATGAAATCGTTCTTAGCTATTCCAAACTTAGTTATTTTTGCAGTTTTGTTATTTTTTTCCTCATTGGAAACTCCCAAAAATCCGATTGCTTTTGCATGTTTTTTTATTTGCCTGATAACTGATCCTTTCCTTGACATTTATTTTAGTGGACTTTCAGTAACTGAAAGATGGAAACCCTTTTTGTACCGTGGAAGAATTTGCAGAAGACTTTCAGTCGTTTTTGCTGGAATGATTGAGCTTACATTTTTTATTCTTTCAGCATTTAAACTTAGAGACACTCATCTCTGGTATTTTGTAATACCTGGCTTTTCCATTTTTGGAATTTTCTGGATGATTTGTCATATTATTTTTCTTTTAACTCTTTGGGGATTCCATACCAAATTAAATGACTGCCATAAAGTATATTTTACCCACAGGACAGATTACAATAGCCTTGATAGAATCATGGCATCCAAAGGGATGCGCCATTTTTGCTTGATTTCAGAGCAGTTGGTGTTTTTTAGTCTTCTTGCAACAGCGATTTTGGGAGCAGTTTCCTGGCAGGTAAGCTTATTGTTTGTCCATCAACCCCAATGATGTAATAAAATGCTAACTTCAATAATTGAAATTAAAGTTGTAAGGTAAAGTTCCTGATTTCAAAAGGATATTCATATTTGCTCTTATTTAATTTTGTTCATGGAATTGAAGTACTGAATGTGTTTCAAGAGGATAATTTGTTTGATCTCTAGCAAAGAAGTACCAAAATGTTATGAACACTCAGCATTGAGATGCCTCCCACTTCCTGACTGTTCATTAGTGAAACACTCGTCGATTAAAGAATCTTAGAAAACTAACATTCGGAAAGTATTTAAAGATAGTATTCTGATCCTTTCATTATACCCATGAGGAAACTGAAAGCCAAAGAAGACACATCCAGAGTCACTAATACTGGCAGGAACAAGGTTACTTAATTTCTGTCTATTCCCTGGACTCCTCATTGTAAGATGTTTCTTGTATGTAGCCATTTCTCTGAAGATTTTATATAAAAGGTGTTAGATATATAACTACATATCAGTTGCTTAATTATAGATTAGAGGTTATCCTAAGAAAGAAAACATGGGTTTCACAGGAACTTTGCTGCCCAGAAATGTTTTCTAAAAGGTTCTTGTAGACAAAGACATTTGTACAGTTGGAGTTTGCATCTGCAGTATTAACAAACCCAGTCTTCCATTAATTGAGCATGTATTGACTATGTCAGGCACCGTATATGCCAGGCACCGTAGTGGGTGCGGAAGATCTCAGGATGTCTGTCAAAGGTGGCACAGTCTCCAATGGGAGGAGGAAGAGGCTGGCATGTAAACAAACAATTATGATTACAGTGTGATAAATACTATAATCTGTGTACATCAGGCTGGGATGTGGGGCATAAAGGAAAGTCAACTCTGCTTGGTGCAGCTCTCTGAAACAGTTTGTTGCTGCTCAGTGATTTCTAGAGGAAAGTCAGCTCTGCTTGGTGCAGCTCTCTGCTTTGTAAGTTTGTTGCTGCTGAGTGATTTCTAGAAGTGTGTTTTGAAGAGGGAGATGTGGAGACTTGCCTGGACATGGTGCTTTCTAGTCAGCTGGGCTAGGGCAGGGATCCTGGTGGGAGTCAACCAAATGAGGAAAACATCTTGGGTGTGGCCTGAGGATATTGTCCTTACTTTGTTTGCTGTACTTGCTAGTGTTGGATACTATCAGAATTATGATGATGATGTCCAAAACTCAAGCATGAGTTTTCCTCCCTCTTCCTTGCCTCTCTTCCTGCTAGCTCCTTTCCCAGCCCTAAATACTTTTTCTTTTCTAAGTCAACCTCATTCATGCTGGATGCCATTCCAGGCTGTCAAATTCTGTTAACCAAATATTAATATTTTCTTGGTCTCCAAAGTTTTTCTTATCTAGTGGTCTTCAGATATGGTGTGTACCACTGGAGGTACACAAAAACTTTCCAAGGAGTCTGTCAGCAGAGATAATTTTAAGAGCATCAGTTTCCTGATTTTCACCTTCAATTCTGCTCTTTCCTAAAGTTGATCTGTTTGAGAATCCCTCGATTTAGATGTAGGGTGATAGCATTGTGGTTTTAATTTATGTCTCTAATGATTAATGATGTTGAGCATCCTTTTATGTGTGTATTAGCCATTTACTTTGTTGTTTAAATATTCACATCTTTTGCTCATTTTAAAGCTGGGTTATTTGTCTTGATTGAGTTTTAAGAGTTCCTTATATATTCTGGATACAAGCCTTTTGTAAGATAAATGATTTGGAAATGTTTACTCCCAGTCTGGCTTCCGTTTCTATTTTCTGAATGACACTTTTTGAAGAGTTTTCAGGAGTAAAGGTTTTTAATTTTACAGAATCCAAATTATCCACTTTTTCTTTTATGGACTCTGCTTTTAGTAGCTTATCTAAGAAGTCTTTGCTCAACACTAGGTCACAGTTCTTTCAAAAGCATTATTGTTTTAACTGTTAAATTTAGGTGTATGATCCATTTTGAGTTATAGTATGAGAGAAGGATCTAATTTTTTTTTTTTTTTTAATATATAGCTGTCTCATTGTTCCCAGCACCATTTGTTGAAAGGATTAACATTTCCCCTATTGAATTGCCTTGGTGCCTTTGTTTAAAATCAATTAAACATAAATGTAAGGTTGTATTTTTGAGTTCTTTTGTTATACTGACCTGTATGTCTCCCGTTATGTTAGTACTATGCCATCTGGTGAGATGTTTTCTAATTTCCTTTGAAATTTCTTCTTTGACTCATGGGTTATTTATAAGTTTGTTGTGTGATATCCTAATATTTGGAAGTTTCTCACATTTCTTTCCGTTGATTTCTAATTCCATGTGGCTGGAGAACACTGTATGATTTTAGTCTTTTAGGCCACTTGCTTTGTGGCATGGCATGTTTTATTCCATGTTGACTTGAAAATAATGAGTCTTCTGTTGTTGGGTACAGTGTACTATAAATATCAGCTAGATTAAGTTGGTTGGTAGTGTTATTCATGTATCTATAGCCTTGTTAATTTTCTGTCTAGTTCTGTAATAGATTAAAATCTCTATTATAGTTCCTGAATTGTCTACTTCCTTTTTCAATTCTGTCATTTCTTTTTTTTTTTTTTTGCTTCATGTATTTTGAAGCACTGTTCCTAGATGTAAATGCATCTTTGTTATATCTTCTTACCGTATTAACTCTTGTAATTATGGTAAACAGCATAGTTGAGTAGTTAAAACAGAGATTGCAATGACGTGCAAAACAAAATATTAACTATCTGCCCCCCCCCCTTTTTTTTTTGACACAGAGTTTCACTCTTGTCACCAAGGCTGCAGTGCAAAGGCACCATTTCTGCTCACTGCAACCTCCGCCTCCTGGATTCAAGTAATTCTCCTGTCTCAGCCTCTCACGTAGCTGGGATTACAGGCACCCACCACTAGGCCTGGCTAATTTTTGTATTTTAGTTAGAGATGGGGTTTCGCCATGTTGGCCAGGCTGGTCTCTAACTCCTGACCTCTGGTAATCCACCTGCCTCGGCCTCCCAAAGTGCTGGGATTACAGGTATGAGCAACTGCACCTGGCCCCCTATCTGGCCCTTTTAAGAAAAAGTTTGCCAATCTTTGTTCCAGACCAGTGTTTCTCACTCCTCAGTATGCATGTGAATCATGTAGGGATCTTGTTAAAATTCCGAAGATTGGAATTCAGTAATTTTGGGGAAGAGCATGAGACTCTGTGTCTCTAAAAATCTTCAATGTGATGCAAACACTTCCGGTCACCAGCGTACTCATTTAGTGGCAATATATTCATTTAGCTATTCAAGACCAGTGTGAATCTACATGAGTTGTGTCTGCATTCCACAATTGGTCGCTATTTGGAAACTGCTGCCCATGGCATAGGCATTATGCCTTAAAGGTAACTAAATTTTTTCAACTTAATTTAACCAATCCTCTGTAGAAAGATTTCAAACTCTGCTCTGCCCAGTGTTCTGTGAGATGTTAGTGAGTGTGCTCTGAGAAAAAAATGTTCAAAGTACAGAAAGAAAAACATTTCCAAACTAACTTGACCGTGAAGTCCTTGCTCTACCCTCATTACTTACATTACACACCTCCCCACACCCATACCTTTTAACCTCTATGTGAAACATAATTTGGGAAGTATCTGCTGAATTTGTACATGTTCCAGATCTCTTGAATTATGAAAGAACCAGAAAATTATGTAGAAAGGCAAATAATTAAGAGCTTTGTTAGGACATGACTGTTCTGGGGATAATAACACCATCATTTAATGCAAATAAATTCTGAGGGCTATCTCAGATTATTTAAATTGGATTTTAATTGATTTTTAAAATTGAACTATTTTTACTTATTTCCTAAATGATATTAAGTTTTTAATATAATCTAAAACCATTTGTCATATTTCTGTGAGAGTAATACTAAGGTACTAAACCAGTTTTTCTCACTGTCCAATTAAAATATCCTTCAATCTATTTTTACTAGAAAAACTGTGCCACTGATTAGGTGAGGGCAGACCCAATGTGCCAAGAAAAAAATGAGGAATTAAAGAAGGCTTTGAGCAGATCAGTTTGCCAGCTATGACAGAATCTATGAAAGTAGACATAGACTGAAATCAAGAAGGCTAGCCAGGAGCAAGAGATAAGGACTTGGACTAAGGTGATAGGGAAAAGGGCTATGATAAGGATAAAATTGAGAGTATTATCAGAGGAAAAACCTAGTAGATTTTGTTGAGAAGTAAATTTAAAGCGAATTTTATATTAGTTGATAAAATGTAAAGTTGAAAGTTCAGACGTGGTAGATAGTCAAAATGTTAAAAAGATGTTGAGAAACTGAAGAGAGCAGATAAGAATGTAGGATGAGGGAAGACATGATGATGGATCTTACTGAGGTAATGACCTAGTGGACATTTGGAATTTATTAAATACCTTATAGGTTTCTTTGTCTTTTAAAATATATTTTTAGGGACTCAAATGTACTTTTTTTTACTATTAGAGAAGTAAAAACATGCAAGATTAACATGCCTTATGGAGCACAGTTGTAATTTAGATCATAATTCCAAAAAATGGGTTTAGCCATTTTTTTTAAGGTTTTGCATATGAAAACTTGGGTTTTGTTTTACTTAGCTTAACATAAAAAATTTTTTATTAAGGAAAAATTTACATATAGAAACATTAATCTTTTTTAGTGTGTAATTCTGTTATTTTGACAAACACATATATTTGTGTGACCACTACTACCACAGTCAACGTGTAGTGCAGTTAAATCACCACCAGAATTCCCTCTTGCTTCCTTGTAGTCAGTCCTTCTCCCAACCCCCAGGTACTTGGCAACCTGATTTGTTTCCCGTTCCTAGAAATTTTCCTTTTCCAGAATGTCATATTCGTAAAATCATTTAACACTGTAGTCTTTTGAGCCTGACTTTTGTTTTTGAGACAGAGTTTTGCTCTGCAGTGTGGGCTAGAGTACAGTGGCACAATCATGGCTCACTGCAGCCTTGACCTCCTGGGCTCAAGCAGTCCTCCCTGCC